TCTCACCATGTTGCCCTGGCTAGTCTTGAACCCACGGGCTCAGGCAATCCTCTCACCTCGGCCTCCCAAAGTGCTGGGATTATAGGCTTGAGCCACCGTGCCTGGCCCCTAGTTTATTTTAATTTTATTTTTATTTATCATGTAGAGCTATGTTGCTCAGATTGGTCTCGAACTCCTGGCCTCAAGTGATCCACCCGCCTGAGCCTCCCAAAGTGCTGGGATTCTAAGTGTGAGCCACTGAGCCTGGCCCACGTTGAGATTTTAGTATGAGCTGCTCAGACAGAGAATACTTTTCCCAGCCTCCAGTTCTACCTGATTGCTCTTTCCGTAAGCATGCCCCATACCCCAAATATTCTTTTTTCTTCTCCCAAGCCCCACGAGTTAAGCCTAACTCATAAGGCTGTCTTTAACTTCTCGAAATGTGTGTTCCTGGGGCCCTTGACAGGCATTTTGCTACTATGTTGTTGACACTACCTTCTTTTTTTTTTTTTGAGTCGGAGTCTCACTCTGTCACCCAGGCTAGAGTGCATTGGCATGCTCACAACCACTGCAGCCTTGACCTGCTGGGCTCAGGCGTTCCTTCCGCCTCAGCCTTCCAAGTAGCTGGAACTACAGGTGCGTGCCACCACACCTGGCTGATTTTTAAAGAATTTGTGGTAGAGATGAAGTCTCGCCAAGTTGCCCAGGCTGGTTTCAAACCCACGGGCTCAGGTAATCCATTCATCTTGGCCTCCCAAAGTGCTGGGATTATAGGCTGAGCCACCGAGCCCGGAGACACTGATTTCTTACAGATCTGTCTTGCAGGAGACCTCAACTGCCCTGAAGTCCAGATCCTGATTTCTCTCATTTATTTATTACCAGCTCCTAGCAGAGGGCGTGGCTTGCTCTGTTCACTTTTCAGAGTGTTCTGTCTCTAGTGTTGGTGGCAGATCTGGGTTCAAATCTCAGTCTTGACATTTCCTCTAGCTGTGTGCTTTTATTTATCTTTTTTTTTTGTTTTTTTTTTTTTAGAGCTGGAGCGTGGTGGCTCCAGCCTGTCACCCAGGCTGGAGTGTAGTGGCATGCTCCCGGCCACTGCAGCCTCAAACTGCTGGGCTCAGATGATCCTTCTGTCTCAGCCTTCCAAGTAGCTGGAACTACAGTTGTGTACCACTGCACCCAGCTAATATTTTGATGTATTGTAGAGACAAAGTCTTTTTGTGTGTGTGTGTGTCTGTGTGTTGGAGTCTCATTGTCGCCCAGGCTGGAGTGCAGTGGCACGCTCACTGTCACGGCAACCTTGACCTGCTAGGCTCAGGCGATCTTTCTGCCTCAGTCTTCCAAGTAGCTGGAACTACAGGCTCGCCTGACCACACGCAGCTAATTTTTTGATTTGTTGTAGAGATGAGGGCTCACCAAGTTGCCCAGGTTGGGTCTCGAACCTGTGGGCTCAGGCAATCCTCTTGCCTTGGCCCCCCAAAGTGTTGGGATTACAGGCATGAGACACTGCACCCGGCTGGTTGTGTGATCTTATGAGGGTTACGCTCTTGGAGCCTCAATATTCCATCTGACAAATGAGGGAGATCGTGCCAATCCCATAGAACTGTTGGCTCCTAGCACGTTGCCAGGCATGGAGAAGAGGGACAGGAAATGTGGACAGGAATTCCTACATGTGACAGTGACATGCTGACAAGATGCTAGGAGACCCAGATAGCCAAGGCTCCTCCCTTAAGATGACCAAGGACTCAATCATCTATTCCTTCCATAGCCTGATTTTTTTTTTGAGTTGGAGTCTCACTCTGTCGCCCCGACTGGATTGCAGTGGCCGCTCCCGGCCTCCGCAGCCTCGACCTGCTGGGCTCAGGTTATCCTTCCGCCTCACCTTCCAAGTAGCTGGAACTACAGGCATGTGCCACCACGCCCAGCTAATTTTTTGATTTATCGTAGAGATGAGGTCTCACCAAGTTGCCCAGGCTGGTTCGAACTCACGGGCTCAAGCAATCCTCTCACCTCAGCCTCCCAAAGTGCTGGGATTATAGGTGTGAGCCATCACACCTGGCCTACATAACCTGATTTAATGAGCTCTCTGGTGTGCCTGACTGCAATGACAAGAGCTAGGAATGTCACACAGGGTTTGTACCCTCAAAGCCTATAGGGAAGCCAGGTCTATTTGTAATGTCCTGGGATCAACACAGAGGATGGGCCCCTCCCTACCCAGCATGAAGGGTGGTTGGGGACATTGTCAGGGGAGAAAAGGCCCCTTCCTGAGAGACTGGGGTATGTGTGACAGGGAGATGATGATCTCTTGGTGGTGACTTGAGGGGCTCTGGGGGATGTGGCGTGAAGTTTGGCAAGGCAGGCGAGATAGGAAGATGCGGCCAAGGGGCAGAGACTATTAACAAGAAGGTGGGCCAGGCTCGGTGGCTAAGCCTGTCATCCCAGCACTTTGGGAGGCTGAGGCGAGTGGATTGCTTGAGCCCGCGGGTTTGAGACCGGTCCGGGCAACTTGGCGAGACCTCGTCTCTACAATAAATAAAAAACTAGCC